AGGCAAGATGTACATTGAGCACTCATTTTGGGGGACTTCAGTCATGATGTGGTACATTTCCCTGTATAAAATACCTAGTTCAGGTCCTGTTTTGGCCATTGTGATTCACCTATTCACATGAATTATTTTGTTAATCCATTCAGTATTGTTCTTTGAAGTGGACTGTCTCCTTTATGGTTAATCATATGCAGAGTTAATATGCCAATTCTCAAAAAACCATTTTGCGATTACCTGGTGTGAAACTGCTTTATAACTGTGCACTTCATACATTTGATGTATCTTGACGATGGTGCATCATCATATCCATGTCTCATTTCTGAGTGTGAATTCCAAATGGTAAGGAATTCACACCCAGATTGACCGCTATTCATTGATATGATTAACGGTCATCACTCATAACAATAAATGCCTAACTGCCAAATCGCAACTATTATTTTATTTCCCTTTTTAAAAGAAATGTTTCCAGGCATGTTTATCATCAAAATCTTTCTTTCTGTTAAAATTTTGAGTAAGTGGAAATTATTTTTTTGTCTAACCTATGGAGAACGCCTTTCACACTAGAGTAAAATATATAACTGTGCCTTTCGTATTATAATAAAGTAAATGTTATATTACAATGAAGTATGTAATAAACTGTATCGAAATTTATGTTGAAAAGGTTCATGGAATGTTCGAAAGCAGAAAATGTTTTCTTTGTTTTTCACAAGCTCTGTATTCTATAAGCAGATATGTTTCTACTGTACTAATGATTAATTTTGTAATAAGGATTAGCCCAGATTTTGGGTATTATCTAAAGTGCTTAAAGCTGTTTCAATTGGTTTAAAATAAGGTAGAAATCAAAGTATATAACCACATTTTAGTGAATAATCATTATGTGTGGAAACATTATAATCACTTAAAATGCAGTTTAATAATTTAGACTTATCATGAAGTACTTCATATGACATCCTTTATAAAATGTTTACCTTAAATTTTCTTTGTGAATAGCAAGTATATTGAATGATATTAAGCTATTGCTTTTAAAATGATAAACTGAACCAATAACTCTCTTCTTTCCGTAATGTCTGCATAAATGGATTAGATCCATTTGTTACAATACCAGATCCATTTGTTACAATACCAATATAATCTAGATACTGTATTTGAAAACTAATTGACTATGTTATGCACTATATCTGAGGGCATTTATGTTTAGCTCTTATTTGTAACTTAAAATTTTAGTAATAATATGAGTACAATGAATGAGTTAAAAATAAAGGCAGAAAATTTGTGTTTAATATTTTCAACATTTGTTTCATTTACTTATCTTTCTCTTTAAACACTTGCTTTCAGTCTAAATTGAGTTGAACATGTTCCTGTGTGAAAATAAAAAGGGAAAAAAAAGTAGCTATTTGGAAATAATAAATGCTTTCATTCTGAGTTAAAAACACGTGTCTAGTTCAAAATAGAAAATGTAGGAGTATGACAGGGATAACAATTAAAAGGAGAAAAAAAAATGTGTTTATTTCTTCTTGAATAGAGCAGTTTCAGAGTTTTATCGATATCAAATAAAGCATTCATTTTAAAATTTTCCGTTATTTAAAAATATTAAAGGCTACTACTATATGAATTTTTGTAATATGTAGTATTGTGAATTATTAAATATTAATAATACAGTCAAAAGTCATTAATCCGGACTCGTCGGGACTTCGACGATTCCGAATTATAGATCATCAGTTTAAATCTGGTAAGATGGCATGTAGAAATTATAAAATTAAAAAATATGAAACCGTAATTTATGAAATAAAGAACAATTATGATCTAAAGGGTATCAAAGTTTACAAAAAAAAATGCTTAATATTTATTTGTTTACTTTATTAAACATTTCTTTCAATGTAAGTTGTTTAAGTTGCTTCATTTTTTATGTGATAATACTTTCTGTTTAATTCTATAAACAGACATGTTCAGTTACAAAGATCCACTGTTCAAGTCCTATAATTGCTGTGTCGAGAATTCCGACTAATTATGTGTCACTTTCTTCACTATCGGAAGCGAATTATAATGACGAGGAATTTGATTTAAATCATATCAAAGACGGAGTACATCGAGATAAAATACTACATTTTGTGAGGAATTATAAGCCAAATAAAATAAAAACATTTGGCCTGAAGATAAGGATAGTGCTGACAGATCAACTTCCAGTTCATTGCGTGCTGATGCTCCCCGCCCCCCCCCACACACGCAGAGCAGCGTGAAATTGATAAACAGATTTCGAAATGGTTAGATAAACAAAGGATATGCCTTTATCCATTTTTTGCAGCAATTCCCCTTTTTGTTTAATAGACTTCGAAACATACTTTCACTTTGTAGATCCTTTACATATATATATCAGAAATTCTATTTGACATAATCGAAAGTTCAGCCTTACTTTTATAAAATTGCTCTAACAGTCTGCAAAAAAATAATAAGCCGGATCCAATTCGAAGATTAAGGAACAACGCAATCTGCAACATTAACTGAATTAGATAATTTTAGCTTAGCTTATACCGTCTGGTATACATTAAACACACATTAGTAAACATATTTTGCGCATGCGCACATGCATATTCGCAGCCGTAAAGGTCTTACGCGCATGCGTCAACAAGACGCATGCACAGAATGTTTGTAGCTTTGAGGTCTGGATTATAGATCATTCCGGATTATGGGTGTCCGAATTAACGACTTTTGACTGTAATAATTTTTGTAATTAAAGAGGGCTGTAGTGTAGAGAAGGTTGTCCTTTGATTTGGTGCCAAATACTGATGCTGCTACTGGTTTTCTGGTTACATGATTTGCAGTATGTGTATCAAATATTTTGAATTATTGGAATTTTGATTGCCGTTAATTGACCTTTAGTCTTCATTAGCTGGCTCGTTCTAATTAATCATTGTCCTGTCACTTCTACAAAAAAGTATGGCAAGATAAATACTCTTTTTTTATGATTAAGAGCAAAAGGGTAAGAAAGCTTATAACTAATTTTTATATGAATGAAGGCTTAATTAGCTCTCTTTATAAATGTGAATTTTGTATGAAAAAATTGCATTTGGTCAAACTGAAGGATCAATCGGGTAGCCATGAGTAGGTTTGTTGTGAGAAAGGTGCTCAAAACTGACATTCATGCCAACACCATCGAAGACATGTGGATACACATTAAATGCGAGTTTTGCAAGCAGGGTTTTTGGCAGTCATAGAATGACATTCTTTTACTCCTATTTTGTGGAATTTACGTGGTGTCACCACTGATAGAATGAGAAAGAGAAGGATTCATTCTGGGATTATGTCAATTGCATAAAAGAATTTTTTTATGCGCCACAATCACCCGACACTGACAATGAGATGTAACCAAGAACAAATGAGGTGAGTACTTTTGTTGTTTTTGCAACATATGTTTTTGGCGTTGTTTTGAGCAAGAGCCATCTTGGAAACACTGCTTCTTGGCACCATTCTTTGCACTACAAAATCGCAAAACATCTCGAAACAGGCACCCCATTGTAAACTTTTACTGTAATGAGTATTAGCTATAGGGAAAAATCATTAAGTAGAAATTTGCAGTTGTTGGGCTAAATCATTGAAATTAAGGTTTTTTTTAAAAAAATTGGATTATATTTAAAGAGAATGCAAAGTGTGCATTTGAGACAGAGCGTGTGTTTGAAAATACCGTAATTTCGCGCGTATATATAATTTTAAACACAGATAATTTCGCGGACTATCTGTGTTTAAAATGAGAATTTTTGAAGCTGCGGACTATCCACCAGTGCGGATAATATGCTGGTTGTTCATGGTTAAAATTGTTGAAATTTAAAAAACACGCTGTCATGAACTGCCGATGATCAAATATAAAAAAAGCGCGATATTCCAAGTATCCTTCGCACTGCTTTAGCACAACTGCCGGGAGGGGGAAAAGTAGTTGATGCATCAGCTCGGTTTTTAGGAGCCATAGTAGCAAGTACCTGGAGTACGAAAAAAAGTGTGATTCGTTTACTTATAGCGTGGTTTGGCAACACCGAGTGAGTGGGGTCGAAGGTCACATTTCATTACCACTTATCACGAGGATAGCACGTTGCACAGTATTTTGTTTTCGTATTTTGTCTTTCATCTTCAATAACGTTGATGAAATATCGCCGGAGATTTACTGCTGAGAGGTAGTTGAGAAAACTGAAAAAGATGGAAATAGAGAAGCGGGCCCTTATTGGTTTAATCCCTGCACACGGGATTTGACTACTTTTGGCGACTTTATGATGAGCAGTGAAAACGGGACATATACGATGAGTAGTTAACGGGTCATTCAAAGAAAATATATAGTTAAACATAGTATATATACTATGCGTGTATAGTATATATATATAGACGTTCTTTGGATCATTTTTAGTGTTGGCGATAATTTTCAAAGTCGCGCCAAGGCTGCACCGTATACTAGGAGTTTACCCCGTTATTTTGAAGTGGACGAGAAAGCAGTGAGAAATTGGCGCAAACAAAAGGATTTGTTTAAAAAGCATGGGAACATTGTTGTATTAAAAAACGTATTTTCGGACGTATAGTCCGCGGACTATCCGGTGGTGCGGACTATCTGACAATTTAAAAATTTTTTTTAATATAAAATCGTGTCTGCGGACTATACGATGGTGCGGACTATACGTGCGAAATTACGGTACTAATATTTAGACTGAACCACATTTTTGGTTGTTTTATCATGCGGTCAAATGTGTACTCAAAGGCCTTTTTTAAATTCACAGAAACTTATGATACTATCAATTTTTTGGTATGCTAGCCCCTCCCAGACAGAGCTTAACTACTATGTTTTTTTTTAAACTGGCGATTTTTTGAATTTCTTAAATTTCAGTTTTTCCTATTGTTATTAATCATGCAGTAGGGTCTTGAATTACTATAATTGTGCTAAATACTCATGTAGAATGAAATAAGCGTAAACTCCAGAATTTCACTTTTTTGATATATTGATGTGTTTTCTTTTGTTTTCTATCCAGCTTTTTGTTCTGCCACCTGATGGAAGCAGTTAAAGACTGGTATTCTCTGAATGAAAGTCCATATTCAAAAGTAATATTATGTTTTGTAATATAATTCAGGTTTTCTGACTTCTGAAAATCATAACTTTGTCATATTTCTAAAGCATTGTTTAGCATAAATGTTCGAACTACTATACATTGGTTTTAGTTGAGTTGGTCACTTTGTTGATTTCTGTGAAATAGATCGGCTTCATGCTTTCTTCAATATGTGTTATGTTAAAACAAGACATTTCCCATTAACAATGTGTTATCTTGTTAGTGGACTGTGCAGAACTCAATATAAAATTATAATGCCATTCTTAATGGCAGCTGGGCTGGCAATAGTATTTGCTTTATAATCTTATAGAATATGGTGTTTAAAATGTGGAATAACAGCATATATTTACAAATTATTCAAAATGAAAAACTGACGTGTCTTTAAATCATAATTCACCTTTTTGGAGAAATAGCTGTGTTTTTAATAGATTGCATGCAGTCATAACTATGGATAATATTTAGAAGAAGAAGAATGCATATTTTTTGTGATCAGCAGATTTAGCTTCGAAATCAAAAAGCTTCTTTTCTCAGTTATTAAGTGCTTGAAAAGTTTCTTGGAATTCCTTTGACGCATTGCTTTGCTGAAATAAGGGCCTTTGGTCCAGAGCATTGTTAATTAATATGTTGTTAGCTTGTTCTCTCTCAAATATTAATTATCAATTGCCAACATACACCGTAATTTATTTTGAATGTCACATGTTCAAATTTTTCAAGCTGTAGCTATTTTAATTCCACTTCATAACTATGGATAATATTTAGAAGAAAAATTTTTGAAGGAAATAAGACGTGAGATGATGTAAATCCTGTGTAATATGTAACTGAAATTTGTAATGACAGTTTGGAAATCACAATTCAGTGGCAGTAACATTTCCTTTTGCAGGATAGTGCATAAGTGCCCAGTTTCATCAAGTGTCATGTCTGAAAAAAGGAATAACTCTTTAAGGTAAATAAATAGCTTATGTAATCAGCTAAGTGGGCAATCAATTATCTTCTTTCTTCCACATAATTTTTTGGTTGTGTGACTTGGATAAAGCAAAAGAAATTTCATGAAATATTTTTTTTTGTTGGTTTTTATGTTAAAGACAAAAGTTTAACTTGGTTTGCATTATTTTTTCAACATTTCAAAGCACAGTGGAAAGTTCAGTTAGTTTATTTCATATATTTCTTAGTTTTTAGCAGATATATTTACCTTTTGCAGTTAGTTGGCTTTCTTTAGATTATTAGTTCTTGTGAATGGTCTTTTGCTTTGTAAGAGGAAAAATATTATGGTCATCTTTTTGTTATATAAATAAAAGCAATTCTGACATAATGATCCCATCTTAAATGCCGTAGGGAAATTGCGTTAAGTTCTTGAAACTGTATGAAATTTAATTTCTGCTGATTTCTAAAATCATTCTTTTTCTTCAAGTGGGAAAGGAAACACAATTTAGCAAATTTGAGAAAAAGCCAAAACACAATATCCCAATACAGCATCGGAGCATTTATCTGATAGTAGTGGTTGTAAGAAGCATTATTGTCCTCCTTGGTGCTAAGATTATTTGCTGTTAATAGAACCAAACTCAAATACCTATTCCAACCTCTGTTTAATCAAAGGCCCCTATTGTAGGCATTTTAACAATTACTGTTACCATGTGAGGTTGAATATGATGCACGCTTGAGCATCAGTCTTGCATGATTTGCAGAAAGTTGCCTGGTCAGATGAATCATATTTTTTACAGCATCATGCAAGTGTTTAGTTTGCAAGAAAATAAGTTGACTACAGGATACAAAAATAGGATGAAGGTATTAATAGTAGTAATGCTATGCTTTGCACAGTGTTGAGTCTTTGTTTCCGGTCATACATATGCAAGAAAATATGTCTGCCCACAGCTAAGCACAATAGCTAATAACATATATATTCTGTTAACAGTGGCACCTAGAAGAGGCACTGGATCTTCAGGAAACATTTTATGCTGTATCACCCACATTGTTCAAGAATGGTTCTGAAATATGAAGAAGAGTTTTAGGTCTTTCTGTATTGCTTTCATTTTCTTAAAATATAAAGCCAGTCAAATATTTATGTAATATAGTGAAACAGTATGTTTTATCTAGTGAGGCTCCATTGTAATTTAACTGTCTGAAAGCATCTGCTGATGGCGTATAGGTAGATACCAGATATAGAAAAATAACTTCTGACATATGTACTACTTGTACCTGAAGGTCATGTAGCTATTTTAATACTTGCTAGGACAACATCCTCTTAGGCATTTGGTTATATTCTTTTGAATCTTTGTTATATTATATTATTTTTAAACTCTGCATTTTCTTATTTGAAAGTGAATGGAAAGTATAATTTTGCTGAATTTTTGCATTGTTGAAATCAGACAGAAATAATTTACTTATCTTTATGAAATACATTATTTTTGGGAGTATATTAAACATATGTTGGAAATAAAATAGACATATTGTTTTATTTAAAAATATCTGATTGATTTATTTATATTAATGGGCTTTCATATTAAAAATGGCTTGAAGTTCATCTTAATATACTGAATGACTTTCTTGATGTCTTTTACCTGCTGTAATCATATGTCTAGCCATCATTTTTACTAACCATTACTTGTGAAATTTATGATGATTCACCAGTCATTTATTTAAGCATGGATCAGGAAGATTAAATAGTTTCTGTTTAGTTATATAATGTTGTCTTCTTCCACAAAGGCAGTTACTTGTCTTAATATAGTAGCAAGCAGAATTTTACTGCATGTGGTATATAGTAATAAATAGTTACCGTTAGTGTCACATTTGTATTAGAGAAAAGAAATTTGTCTTAAAGTATTATACAAACAGTATTAAATACATACAGTATTAAATTTCTTTGGATATGGCATGTGGGACATTCATTGCATTTATTAGCTTAAAACTAAATTTATCTACAAATAATTCTATATGAACAGTAGATATAATTTTGCTTACAGTGCTCATGTCTTTTGATTTGCAGTGTGCAACACAAATTTCTGGAGAGCCTTTTTCACAGAGCATCGTATTTGAAGCCTCTAATTCTTTAGCTATAAAACTTAAGAGAATATATGAACTCCTGAGGCATCATGATGAAGAATTATTTATGTTTTTAGAGCAGATGGAAATCATACCTCAAATATATGGAATGTATGTTTATCAGCTTTTGTTGCAATTTTAATACATTTTGTGTGAATTAATTATTGTATTCATAACTGTGACTTTCTTAATTTACATGCTTACTGAGAAAATTTAATCACAAGTTTGTTATTTAGACACTTCATCCATTTGAAGTTATTTCTTCCTGGTTAATGATCTGTAATTTTTGAACATCACATACATATTTAGTTACAATTGTTTGCTGAAAGTGATTACTTTGAAATTTGACAAATTTTTATATATGATATTTATTTTTGGAAATAATTTCAAAATTTATTTTTTCAGACGTTGGTTGAGGTTATTGTTTGGTCGAGAGTTTGCTTTACATGATTTGCTAATTGTGTGGGATGCCATTTTTGCTGATAGCATAACCTTTTGCCTTGTTGATTATATATTTGTTGCTATGCTGATCGCAATTCGAGATTCAGGTAAGTTGCATATGTTTAACATGCAGTTAATTTCTTGTGCTCAAAATTTCCTCTTGCAGAAAAGAAAAAAATTATAACAACTGTAAAAAAAAATTATAAAAACTGCATAAATTTCACAGGTATTTTTTATTTTTCAGTTCTTCAAAGCGACTATGCATCATGTTTAAGCTACCTGATGCATTATCCCAAAGTAGATGTACATTATATAATTAACTTGGCCTTGTTTTTAAGGAACCCCAAAGTATGATTTTTTGTGTATTTCTTTTAATTACAATTCATTTAATGTAATACAATTTTATGCTATCAGGTATTGTTTTGAATAACAATTTTATCTTAAGGAATTTTAACTACATCTGTTCAGTCAGTCAGTCTCATGTTTTTTTAGCATTACATGTATCAAGGGGCAGATTAACAAAATGTGCAAAATTTAGTTTCCTGTACTATAATATTAGCCGTTGCTTTATAAATCAATATCATAAGCCCCTCAAACTGCGTAAAATTTGACTAAATAAAGAAAAATTTGTGTGATATGATAACAGCACTAAACTCACATGCTGCATCATTATATACTTATCTTTCAGTTATTTTCATGCTTATGAGAGAAACATGCATACTTTAAAATTATCTTGAATTTTGTGTAAGTTAATTATGAATAAATTTCAATCTGTGGTTTTGCTGATGAAACTTGCCAGATTTTTTTAAATGAGCAGTTAAAAATTTTTAACTTAATCTGAGGATAAGAGAAGGATGATTATTTTGCATTATAATTTCGAAATTCGTTCTGTTAAATAAGTGTTACCTTTAATTGACCATTTGAAAGAGTAAGGCTGTTAATGATAAGAAAGGGAACATGCTAGTCAAGTAGGGATAAGGTGAATAATGGAAATAATGTAATTCATGTGGCCTAGGATAGCTGATTAGAAAGTGGGAAATAATTACATAATTAGTGTCTTAGAGCTTATATTAGATGTTGGAAAGTATTTGAATAAAAGTATTAATACTGAGATAATCTTGAACACACATGGCCAACAAATGTTCTCAAGCAGGAAGACATATAATATTCATTAGCAAAGGCAATGAAAAGGAGTAGCACTTTTGTGTTAGCTGCTTTCAAGAAATCTAGCTGGCAATAACTTGCCAATGAATATCTACCTGTCTGCTGCACTTATGTTGTCAAGATTGACTGTGTTATGTAGACAGACAATAATACCCACTCTTGTATTAGCTGAGATATGTTTCATCATTAACTCCATTTGTAATTTTCATATTGGGTTCCTGGTATTTGTTAAAAATTTAAATAGAGGATGTCAGATTTTTTTCTAAGTCACGAGATATTGCTGAAAAATTAGAATTGTTGTAATTCCCATTATACATCACTGAAGGAAATCTTCTGTTAGTGTCTTATTTAAATTTTTTGGTAAATGACATGAATGAGGATCGGGAATTATTTTGAAGGAAGCAAAATCATATATAAACAGTTTTATTTGCTTTTGATGCAAGGAATGCATATCTGTCAAATTTTGCCAGACAGATCTAAGTAGACAGAGAAAATTTGTCATGGATAGAATAATTAATTTCTTGAAGTATGCTTTGACAAACTATTGGCTGTGTAAATATGACTGTGCCTTCTCTGAGTAAATAAAAGCCTTTTGTTTTCAAAATGAGATGAAGATTTATTGCAAGTATTTTTCATCAGAAGTTTCAACACTTCCCCATCTGTCAGGCAACAAATGCCATGGAGGAAGGAGTTTGTTTTGAAACAATCCAGTCATCAAGATGATTTTTGATATCTTTTTAATAACAGTAGTGAATCTATTTTTAATATTTAACAACAATTTAATGCATTTTTTGTTTTGTTTTTGAAACAGTAATTCACATATAATTTATTGATGTTCAGTGTCCTTTTCTTTCAAGTTCACATGGGACACTCTCTCGGTGTCCAGCCACTTTTGATTGTGTTTGGCAACAGTCTTTATTCAATAATGTTTCCTGATACTCATCTTGAAATTTTGTCAGGTGGTTTTCCATGCATTCTTTCATGTGCATCAAAATTATTATTTTTTAAATCTTTGAAACTATTCTTTGGAAGTTGTATTTAGTAGAGCATGATTGCAATAAATTTCCAACAGCAAACAGCACATTCCTGATCCAGTTTCCTCTGCAATAAAATAAGTAAAACTCCATACAGATGCATTTGTTTGGAGGACAGAGCTTGGTATTTTAAATAAGGCAAAAATATTTATTGTTTACACATTAAATATGTTGCATGCTAATTATTATATGTTGCTGTCAAACCTTTCAAATACGAATGCTCCCAGATTAAGTTATTTGCAAGCAGTATTATTAATGACATCTGTTATGAAAGAGCAGAATCATATTTATACACTCAGTGTAGGGAAAAGGCAGGAAGAATAAAATGCTTCTAGTCGAGGGATTGTTTCCAAATAGGAAAAATATGAAGATTGTGTGCTTCCCTTGTTGTGGAATTTTGATGATATTTGTCTGGAGATGAAAGAAACTTTTCTGTCATTGTCCTGTACAGAGTCATTTAAATGTAATTAAAGAATATATTACAGCAAAATCTGCTATATATTCAAATTACACAGTAATTTGAAGAAAAAATGAATCAGAGGAATCTTGTTTTAATCTTATAATATTTTCTTTGGTCTTGAAGTGGTTTCTTGCACTCAAAAAATCATTCATATGGGGAACTGTTGTGAAATGTTGCAACAAAAGGCAACAGGTAAAGTACATTAGCATCTTGTGTTGCAGCTTGGGGAATTCATCTGGTGTCAGAAGCAACTGTTAAATGGAAACAGCTGCTGTGGAGCTATCCATAGAGATAATCTTTAGAAATAGGGGGACCTTTGTCGATACTAAACTTCTGGCCCTCTAAATCAATGGTATCCAGATTGCCTCAAAATTACCTTGGTGCCATCATAAGGGCCTAAGTGAAGAGATACATTTATGGAGAATTTTTTAAGGGAAATTGGCTTACAGTTTAAATGTGGAGAAAAATGCTAAAATATCTGTTCAGCCATCCTTTTTGCCAGGAGCAAAACCCGAAGCAAAATGCCATTCCTTGATCAGATTTTTGGAAACTGCAGTCATAGGAGATCACATTTCACTTCCATATTCACCAGGTATTCATGGAAAAAATTGGTACCTGTTTTGCTCATCTTACTGCTTTCTTTAGGGGTAGGCGTATAGTATTATAGTGGTCTTTTCACTGAGCTACAGAGCTTTTTCAACAGTGGAAGCAATTAATTTTAAAAGCCAGAGATGGAAAGGTTATCCAGTGTTTGGCAAAAGATTGTATATTAAGAGTTAATGCAGATGTTCTATAACTAAGAGTATTCTTTCATTGAAAGATGCAAAAATAATAGTTTCTAGAACAAGAACACAACCATTAACTTTGAGATGGAGGGACTAGACAGTAGTTTGGGGTACATATTTAAAGAAAGTCACAATTAACAGCAATGCTATGCATTTGTTTCAAGAACTTGTGTGCCAAGAACAAGCATGTGCATGATAATTACCAATTGGAAGAAGCTGTATATTTCTATATATATATATTATAGACACATCAAGAGAATTACGAAAATTAATAGCAGGGCTGTGCCATTTGTCAAAAAGTAGTTATCCATAGAGATAATTTGTGGATAGCAAGGTGAGGAGATAGCAGCTACACTTAAAGAAATGATACTGTCCATTGAGAACTGCAGAAAATGTTACCAAAAAGTACACTTTAGAAAAATTTGGAAAAAAAAATTGAGGGGGTAAAAGAGGTTACTGTTTGCTGTGGAATATATTTTAAACTTATTTTATTAATATGATAAAATTATGGGAAAAGAAAATCTTGTAAAGTGCTGAAATTGTAAACCCATAAGACAGGACAGTGAAAGTGTTAATGTATAAGGGTTGTGTAGCTGGGGTAAGGCATTTGTGGTTTATTGATTTTATGGTGAATTTGCATACATGCATATATTTCTACAAATCAATATGCATTTAAGCTAAAATACTGTTGAATTCATTTCTGCAAACTAAAAACTAATTTTAGAGAGCTTATAATCTCTGACTTGTAAACAGTTTTCTGTATTAGTAGGCTTATGAATTAAAATGCAAAGCTTTGATTATTTGAAGCGAAGCTTTGTTTTTTATACAAGCCACTGAAATGCGTGAAATGCCACTTCAGTTGCAAGTCCTAAATGCTATTGAAAACTTGTAGAGTTATGTAGAAATCTGTCTAAGGAAACAGTACAAACTAAACAAAAAGATGATTTAGTGGAAAGGTGAGTAAACCAAGAATTCATAGTATTAAACACTGATTAATGTCAGAATGCCTGCATGATTGACTCAGTAATGCATATCTTCATAAGTATTGAAAGGTATTGTAAAAAAAGAAAAATTAGCGCAAAGCATTTTTTTAAAGATTTATTTTGATATAAATGAAATGCATTTAATTGAAAATTTTGGATGTACATAAAATTGCTTTGAGTGAGTTCTTTCCATGTTTTAAAGTGTATTTCAAGTATTAGGTGATTAATGAAAAATAGCTATAGTGTTGCATTAAATATGCACATTAATGCAGGTTTGAATTGTTGGACCTGATGCTGTAGTTGTCACTTATTCTAACAGGGTTAATACAATCAATAAAATAATACCACTGAATTCAAATATGACTGTATTATTATTTCAGTATGTTTCAGCTTTAATCACCAGACTTTAAATATATCACTGTTCTCTTGATTACCATGTTATTAATCTTATTTCCTACTTTGTGGCATAAATTTATTGTGCTAGAAAGCTAAAATTTTAAGTATATTAAAAAGTAACCAGCGAATTGATCTGAAAAATCCCCCCCTTTTTTTTTCAAAAGTTGTTTTGTGATAGCAATTCACCTGTTAACTTCTAATTTTTGAAAGTTTACTGTTTCTTACTTTTTATGAGAAATTGAAAATAATTAAAAAAAATCTATAGCAAGTGTAGATTTTGAGAAATATGTGTTAGGCTGCTTGTATGCATGTCACTGAAGCTAAGGAAAGAATATGTGAATTATGAATATTGCGTGCATACTAGAAGATGCATTGGATACAAATTTTAAGGTATTGCTATTAGTTTATATGTAGTTGCTTACCAGGAACAGAGTTCTTTGATTTAACAGATAGAATCATTGTTTAAGTACAAAGTGATATAAATGTTGGAAATACTGAAACAGCAAGAATCAGTGTAAGATGTATACATTTGCAGGACTGATTTAAGGTGTGAATAGAACCTTTGAAACTAGCCAAAAACTGCAAATTTATGCAAATTATGCTGATTCTTGCTGCTTTAGTATTTCAAGCATTTGTTCTTTGATATGTTGTTTTAGCTATTGCAAGCTGATACAGTTCAGAAACTTACAAATTTACTGATGAACCTGACTGAAAAACTATTGAATATGATCTCAATAAAATGGGTTTCTAGAATATTCTGCTGAAGAATTTTTGTATAACTGTCTTAATCTTGAAGATTGCTCTGAAAGGTACATTGTAATTTTTAATATGATAGTGAAATTGAAATAGTGAGAAGTAATTTTTTTTTTGGTGCTAGACGAAGTCATATCTAAATTACATATAAGCTCATCTTATTTTAGTGTGAAATTTGTGTATATGTTGGGAATGGTAATAGTTAAAGTTAGTACTATTAGATGATAGCTTGTGGTAATACATTTAAAATACCAACTAGATTTTTACTGCATAAGTTCATGAAGTAAGTATTTAAAAATAATCTATCAAATTTATGTAATACTTAAGGTACAAAAAGTATAATTTCTGTTCGACTTTTATTTTCTTCATATTTAGTTTTGTAACCACTCAGATTGAATTAATGTAACTGTATGTAAATTAAAATGTATAAGTTTGATTAAAGAGAATTATAATTTGTCACACAATTGTATTTTGCTTGCATCCTGTTTTTGAAAGCTATTAGAGAAATGGAGCCCAAACACAGGCATTACTTCATGAATTTTTAAAGGGTGCTAGAAAGATAAAAGTCCTATGGACTCAGGAGGTGCAGTACAACAGTTTAAGAAGTATAAGCATTACATAACCAATGCTGCTTTTTTATGTTTACCCACACCTGGATCCCCATTATCTTTGTGCACCTGATGCATCAGACTGGCCTATAAGATCAGTACTATGCGAATTTGAAGCAGGAATTTGGAGGCCAATTGGTTTCTATTTCAAGAAATTTAATGATGCTCAGAAATCTTACAGCACCTAGGATCTTGAACTTTTGAGTATGTACCTTTCAGTGAGACATTTCAAGTATATGCTGGAAGGCAGAGGATTTTTGATTGTAACGGATTACAAACTATTGACCTTTGCCTTTAAACAAAAAATGAGAAGCATCCCTGAGACAACTGTGCCAACTACAGCACGTTTTGAAGTTCACCTCAGATATCAGGCATATTAGTGGACAAGGCAGTTATGAAGGCAGTCTGTTACTGATTACAAACAAATTGCCGTAGAACAAAGTACAGATCCAGAATTGAAAGATTTAATGGAATGTTATACAACACTTAAATCTAACTAATCAATACTTCCAACTTCATCAACTGTGATGTGATACTTCACAAATAAAGATTTGTCCTTATAATTTCCCCTTGTTTCAAGAGAAAACTTTTTTTTTTATCAAATTCATGGGTTTTTGACCCTGGGGCATTAAATCTTCCATTAAATAGATGACTGCTAGTTTTGTGTGTCTTGGAATGAAAAACAAATCTTAGACTGAGCCCAAGCATGCATCAAATGTCAAAAATATAAAGTTACTAGGCACACCAAATCAAACTTTGCAAAATATGAAGAACCATATGTCCATTTTAGTGGGGTGCATATCAACCTCATTGGCCCATTAGCCCCTTCAAATGGGCACATATACTGTTTAACCTTCATTGACCAATTTACTGGGTAGAAGGGGATGGAAAACATAGAAAGGCAACTATCTTTATTATTCCTTCATCTCATTACCATACATCACTGCAGAAGTGTCCCATTACCATACATCAGTGTCATCCCATTACCATACAATCACTGCAGAAGTGGTAAACAAAACTTTTTAAGAGAAATTAGGTATGCAGATTTGTAAAATTATTATTACGGATAGTAGTTGGATCAATTAACACAGTTTGAATCACGTTTTATCAGGAATTAGGCTGTAATATGTGGGGCTAAGTACTTCACATTATAGCATAACATCCCCAATGCAATGGGAAAATTGAAAGGCTTCATAGAGCATTGAAGACAGCTGTAAAAGTGCATAATAATGAACAGTGGGCTGAAACACTACCAAAAGCTATGTTGGACCTCAGATCTGCCCTGTTATGTGACATAAATTGCTCAATGCCCAAATAGTATATAGAAGAAACATTAAACTACCTTGTGAATTTTCTACCCAATACCAAAGTTGACCCCCGATACCTTTGTGGGTAAGCTGCTAAGCTACATGAATGACTTAAACTGATCTAAACACGGTGTGCTACGAATCAGACAATTTTTGTCTACAAGGGTTTAAAGCCATGCTCTCATGTTTTTGTGAGAACAGACTGTTTGGAAAAGCCACTTGTAGCAACATATGACAGAAATGAGAAATATTTTTCTGTGCTCATTAAAGGCAAAACAGTTAATATTTCTGTTGACAGACTAATGCCTGCATACTTGCTGATATTAATACTGTACTTGACAAAGTGATTGTAGATAACAGAACTAATAAACATTCAAATGGAAAGCTTCCCCAGGTCTATAGATAACAGCAAAAATCTTATAACCAACACCCTTTCGGTAGACAGGTAAAACTGCACATCTGGTTTCGTCTGTAATCGGTTTCGATGTAAAGTCTGCCAGGAGGGTCGGGCTGCGTCCCTCATATCATATCATGGCTTGTGGTAATACATTTAAAATATCAATTAGATTTTTACTGTGTAAGTTCACGAGGTAAATATTTGAAAATGGTTTAGCAAATTTATAAAATATTTAAGGGACAAAAAATGTAATTTCTCTTCAACATTTTTGTCTTCATATTTAATTTTATTACTGTTCAGTTTGTGACTGAATTAACAGTAGCTGTGTATTAACTAAATAATATAAGTTTGGATAAAAGGTAATTAGAATTTGTCTCACAAGTGTGTTTTACTTAATCCTGTTTTTAAAAAGTATTTGAGGCTGCATGCAACCTAAACTGATTAAATAGTTAATAAAAAAGAGACATCTAATATATATTATGGAATTTCTTCATTACTTTAAAAAAGTAATATGTTTCACTGCAAATTCAGTTATTCATTTGTATGTTATTAAAAGAGTAATTTTTTTAAATCAGGGGGTTTTTGTTTAAACTAGTCATGATAGTTATTATATTATCAAGGAAAAATGATTTAAATTAGCAATATCTATTATTTTTATATTATCATTTGCACCATCAGTAATTTATAAATTTGTTTGTATCATTTTTGAAATTTCAGGATAAAATTAAGCCTGAGAAATTTTCAAACAATCCTCTCCATGTTAAAACTAAAAGTTCTCCAAATAAAAATCTTTCTAGAAGTATGAACTTGAGGTAAGTCTAATGGTGGGCATACATTTGAAAATTGTAATTTTAACATAAGCAGATTTTTCAAAAATCCATATGTTAGTAATGAATATTTATGACTGATTTTTTGAGTTTTTATCCTAATTTATATTTAAGTAATGAACAATACCGCTACTTTGTGTTTTTCCATTAAATTTTATTTTAAATACAATGGTGGTGTTGCTACCGGCACAGCCAGTTTTGCCCTCCCCTTATACACACTCGGATTCTCTTCTGATCCCAGTCATTAACGTAACTTTTTTGAAAAGTTACAAGGTTTAAAACAAATTTTTAATTTTTAATTTTGCATCTGGATTAAGAAAAATACTTCTATTCAAGAGAAAATTTATTTATAGTATAGATTAGTAGCTTACAATCAAATTGTTTAATGTAGTTGAAGCTTTGTAAGTATACTATTACCTATTAACCTCTAAAATTCCTCAAATAAAATTTTTTCTAAGATAGTTACAGGCCCACCAGCTGCCAAGCGGTAAAGATGCTGAGCAGATGCTGGTAGTTCGTTCCGAGGTTCGAATCCCGCGAACGAGCTGGCTGCATGGGCGTTTTCGTGTTTTTTATCCATGTGTAATGTGTATATGAGCCATTTTCCCTTAGAAAGTCCTCCACGAAGGCATCCCTCCCTTTAGGAAGATAGCCCTTGTGTGCTTTGCCATATTTGAGTAATCTAATCTAATCTAAGATAGTTACATAGCTGCTGCTTTGTTTTATTCTATAAAACTGTCAATTTTCTTCTTTTTCTTCTTGATTGGAAACTTTCAATTTAATATATTAGCATGTGTGCATTTAGAAAGTAGTGTATTTATAGAAAAAATATTAGGAGAATTAGTGATAGTGATTTATTGCTCTGCTAGTTCCACCAATTGTTTTCAGCACTGCTGGTCGGGGTTATCAAACTAGCCATTACTCTAACATTTTTTCAGCGGCTGAGTCACCTTTCTATGTTTTTCTCAAGTTTTTTTGGTGTCCATTCAAATAAAAATTACAAGATTTCAAATTAATATAGTGTTGTTAGTAATTATTTAATCATATGTTAGTAAACACTGTATACAAGTTTGTTGGATGCAGCCCATGCAGTCTTTCCCAGACTTGTAGCCTATTACGTTACTCATTGTCCACTGACTTGATCAGTTAGATGTAATTGATGTGTTCTATTGATGGCTTTGATCCCTTTTAACTGGTACAAGTCAGTAAAAAGTGTATTGAGCGGAATGTCCCTGGCATTCGGAATGTGCCTTAGCATGGTAGTACATGGGTACTCAGGAATATAATGTAGGGCATTTGCCTTATTCCTTGCTTTCCTTTGCCTTGCAGGCACAGGTAACATTTCTGCTGAGGATCCTAACATAGTAGGACGGAAATTTGCCATGATTGGAGAAAGCTTATAACAAGAAGTGGCTAGACTTGATCCTTTCGAGACTAACCTTTGGGAAGATGTGGAATGCAAAATGTCCTGTGTTACCGTTCTTCCAGTTGTTCTGCCAGATTTGCATGAAAACGAATCTTTTATGAATGTTTTGGCTGTGTTTTTTCCAAGGCTAGAACCTCTATGGTAATGGTTGTCATTAATGATGTTGCCAGCTTGGCTAGCTCATCAGAATCACTTGTTTCCATTTATCCTGGTGCTGCCATGGACCCAAATTAGGGTGATGGAGCTGTTGCACTTGAGAGTTGCATATAAATCCCTCAGTCTGTTTATATGGTGGGGTGTTCCTTTTATTAACCCCTTCGCGCCGGGTAGCGCAAACGCACGCTTATCACGGAGGCCAGCAGTGTCTTACGCGAGCGTCTGGTCCAGGGCTGGGGGCTTTTTTGCTATTAAGCCTAAATCCATGAAATTTCCGACGTATCAGCGCATTGTTTAATAATGCTCTATAGAGTATTTAAACAGCTTATGCTTTATAGATATTTTTATATATATAGTCAAAAGTCGTTAATCCAGACTCGTCGGGACTTTGGCGATTCCGGATTATCAATTTTTCCGGATTATAGATCATCAGTTTAAATCTAAGATGGATGGATGCAGAAATTCTAAAATTAAAAATATGAAACCATAATTTAGGAAATAAAGAGCAATTATGATCTAAAGGGTATCAAAATTTACAAAAAAAAAAAAGCTTATTTTTTATTTGTTTACTTTATTAAACATTTCTTTCAATGTAAGTTATTTAAGTTTCTTCGTTTTTTGTGCGAATATTTTCTCTTTAATTCTATAAACAGACATAATTTCTTGTTCAGTTACAAAGTTCCGTTGTTCAAGGTCCCGTAATTGCTGTGCCGAGAATACCGACTAACTTGTCAATCGAAATTTTTTCGTTTTCACTAACCTTTCTGTCACCTTCTTCATGTCTTTATCCATTTTTTGCAGCAATTCCACTTTTTGTTTGATGGACATCGGAACATACTTTTGTTTTGTAGATCCTTTGGGAGCTCCAGTATTGGAAATTCTATTTGACATAATCGAAAGTTCAAGTTTACTTTTATAAAATTGCTCTTACACTCTGCAAAAAATAATAAGCCGGAAATAATTCGAAGATTAAGGAACAACGCAATCATCAACATTAACTGAAATAGATAATTTTAGCTTATACCGTCCGTTATAAATAAAACGCGCATGCGAAAACGTATTCTGCGCTTGCGCACACACATATGCGCAGTCGTAAAGGTCTTACGCGCACGCGTAAATGCCTATGCGCATGTGTCAACTCGGCGCTTGCGCAGGAAGTTTTTAGCTTTGATGTCCGGATTATAGATCATTCCGGATTATGGGTGTCCGAATTAACGACTTTTGACTGTACTTTAATTACCTTATTTCTTGTTTAAATGCATATTTTACACATTTTATTTTCATTACTCACTATTTTATGACTTTTAACATTATACATCTGAAAACTAAATATATTACTTAAAATTCTCTTTTCGTATGAAAAATTTGAAAACAGGGATCTACACACAGTCCTACGTTACATTCCTTGCACTCGTAATAACGACATTAATGATGAGGACATTAATTAATTAAGGATTAATGATGATGAAGACATCTCATCATCATTAGATTCGCCAGATTCTTTATGATCAGAATATATCATAGTATCACCATCACTACTATCAGAGTCTGTTCAGAATCAATATCTGAAATATTTTGCATCATTTCTGCTATTTCATGCTCTGTTAAACATTTTCGACGCTTCGACATTACAATGGTAAAAACAGAAAGAATTCACATCTAACAAGATTTAATTATTTTCTAAAAACTGAACTGCAAACCGAAATACCCAACGCTTTAGTGAAAATAAAACTTTTCGAGTAGAAGGACTAATGTACATGTATCTGAAACTATATGGACATACAGTGCCATCTTGTGGCAGAAATTATAGTTTTTAAAACGTTCCAGGACACTGGCACAAATAGGTGACAGTCGGGGCTGAACGGGAAAATGCTTTGGCACGCCTGCGTGTCGGCTGAGAAGTGAGTGTGTTCATTGCTGGCACGTAGATGTGACAGTTGGTGCGAAGGGGTTAAAGGCTTGTAAGACACTTTGGTTGTCTGCATAGAAGCGTCTCTGTTTCCTTCCATGTAGCTGCTTTACAGAGTGCATATGACTGTGCTTGGAAGCAAGTGCATGGCTGCTCAGTCTGTAGCTTTCATGATAGCATTCTACATTGTTTCTATATGCTACAAATGCTGCTCCCTCTTAGTCTTCCATTAGAGAATTAGTGATGTAATATTTTCTTTATGAAGTATATTTTGCATGTTTTATTTTATCTGTGTAAGTTTATAAAATATAAAAAAAGTGTTAAAATCGCAAACATTAAATCTATAATGTAAAAGTTTTTGATATGATTTGTTTGTGAAAAGGCTTATTTTTTGTAATGGATTTTCATATCTGGAATCACTTTTTCTTCACCTTTTGCCAATCTTCATACACAGATAAGGGGAATAATGTTTTCAATCCAAGAATTCAATAGTGAGTTTTCAGTGAATAAGTATGATTTTGTGTCATCACAACCCATTTTTATGATGATACCTCTCTGTCTGCATCTGTATATATGTGATGATTTTTCCATTCACAAGAACCCTGATTGCAAACTTACAAGGAGTTCTGATTTCTGTATTGAAACTGCCCACGTTCATGTAAGGTAAAATTTGACAACTAGAAGTGGTACTTTGTTTGAAGACCATAATACTTTGCTTACAGTTGCAAAATTGTGAGCCCAAGAAATGCACATGAAGTTGATGATGCCTCTGCTAAAAGGAGAAAAAAGTGCTCACAAATTTTACTTCCCACCAATTTTGTAAACTTAGGTAAGTGAGGTAATGTTTTCTGTTCAAAAATTTGATAGTGAGTTTTCAGTGAAAAGCACGAATTTGGATCCCCAGAGCACATGTTGACTATTTTCACAATGATGTTTGTCTGTCTATGTTTGATGATTTTTTGGTCCATGAAGACATGAAAATTCCAAAAATGTGCATTTTCCATGTTTAAGCGTTCTGTATTCATATAATAGTAAATGAGATTTTAGGTAAAACGGAAAAACCAAAAGTGGTGCTTTACTTGGAGCCATAGCAGTTAAATTATAATAAAAAATTTTCAGTTTTATTATTTAAGATTTTAATATCAGTGAGAACAACATATTAGCTTTTGGCTAAAATTGCTAAACTGAAAGTGATTCTTTACTTGAAGCTCTGAATAAGGTTTTGTAAAGAAATATATTATGAGTTAAGCCAAAACTTTTCAAATTTGGTATTTAAAATAAGTATTCTAGTGAGAATAACATATTATATGTAAAACATTAAATGTATTCTTGGAATTATGCTAAATGCAACGTGAATGAGCTCATTCAAAGATGAACTCTCATTATGAAGCAAGTAAATGTATTAGCTCATTTGAAGATGAACTCTCGTTATGAAGCAAGTAAGTGTATTAGCCTTAATTGTCAATTTTTGGTTCATTTAACTTAAGTGTGAAATTACTTTCCAAATAAAATGGATGCTGCCACCAAATGCTATCATTATGTATTATTTTTAAAGAAATAATATAGGAAATAATAATAATGTGAATTAAAAAAATGTATGACATAATGGGACAATCAACATTCTACTGGGAATTCCAAAGATATGCTAGTTTTAAAAATTTTGTGATTAAGTCATTGATTTGTGCATCTGAAATAACCAGAGGATATACTACTTGGATGTGTTATTTTCAAACCAAAGCAGGAGAATGGAATGTGTATGAGCATTATAATTATTGTCCATTATATGGGAGAATAGAATAATAAAAAAATGAGTAGTATTTATTATTGATATTGCACCATACAGTTTACAGACAAATTAACTTTTATTTACAAACTATAAATCAGAAGTGATATTTTAAAGTTCATTGTTGTGAAACTGGCAGGAGGTCATATTGGCCGCCTCAGATTTTTTTCCAATGCTGTATAAATTTTTTATGATTTATTTTTTCATTTATTGTTTGGGAAATGATATATCATTAAAGTAACAGAAATAGATGCATTTAACTTTCTGGAATTTAATGTTTTGTGTTTTGCATTTTGGAGTAAACCTTAAAAATATTAATGAGCAAACCATTTGATATATAGGCATTCTGCTGTTGTTAATGCATCTTGTCCCATTTCCAATAAACATTTTGAAACTCGCCCCAAAACACTGAATATTGCAAGTATCAGCATACCATCTCCTGCAGTCTCTGTGCTAGAATCAGCTACAGTAGTAGAAGCAGGTATGCATATTTTACATTTAAATTTGATTGTCTTCTGTTGTGTATTGTTTTCATTGGGGGAAGGATAATTAGAACATATTTCTCCAAGTATTAAATTAAATGAAATTGCTGAAAACATATTTAGTGTGTTAAACCTCCAATTGACAGTGAACTTTCCCAATAAATGCCAAATTTCCAAGACTCCTAGGAGAAAGAAGTATTTTCTTGATTTTCAAGCCAAAATGCCCCTACGATTTTATACCTTGATTTATATGTTTTAATAGTTGTAGACTTTTGGAGATATATGTTATGGAAAAAATATTACCTTTTTTTAAAATTTATTACCCATTTCTAAATATATCAGAATTTTGCAGATGTTTTAGTATGCTTTTTAATTTAATTTTTTAACTTTAATTTTTATCTTTGTGATAATGTTGCTCAAATGAAGAGATGGGTTTTATTTTTATATAGTACTGTTTTGGTGGTTACACAAAATTTGGAGAGTTACTGTATGAATGTGGAGAGCTACTATAAGAGAATTTCTAATGGGAACAATATTTTTAACATGAGTGGTCATTAGAGTAGCAGGCCTTGTCAGTTCGATTTAATGCATTTTGGGCAGTTCTTAAAATTATTAAAAAAATTTGGCATTTAATATGCTTTTCTGTCAACCATTTTCAACAAACATATAGTGTCACCAAATAGTGTGATTTAGAGTCGATATAATGTAACCATAATATCACAGTATCATAAGATCATCACCCTAGTGTTATATAAACCAGAATAATTTTTGATAAGTTGGTTTAGTTTTGGTGAAGAAGATATAAGTTAACTGATGTGTATGTCTCCTCTTGCAGTTTGAAAAAAAAAAGTATTAAAATTTGGGATCTTACTGCTGTAGGACAACATGAAGTATTTTCATAGTTAATGGATTTTAGCATCGAGAAAAATGCACTATAATGGCCACAATATGCAACTTAGTTTGAAAATGAATAAACAATGGCAACGCAATGTGAGAAATTATAATGCACTGTTTAGTGTTTTTATGCATTCTATATGTAACTTGAAACTTTTTTTCCTTTAAACTTCTGCCAGAATGATTAGCACAAGTTTGACAGAATCTCCACCAGTTTCATGGTTGACAGCATTTTATAATCAGATAAGATCCTTTAGTTTCATATGTTTAAGTCCTACGAAATGCACTTTATTTTCCAAAGTCTTACGGAATTTCAGTTGTAGGCTTTTGGTATTCGAGGTAATAAAGATGATGACTGTTTTAAAATTTTTTGACTGGGAATTTCTTTCTGCATTCACATGGCTTTTCTACTGTGAACTGCATTTTGTATTTGCTCAACTATACCTAAATTTCACGTATCCAAAATTCATTTCGTAAGAATTTTAGATAGTTGAACTTTTAATGCATTTGCACACAGTGCAGTTTCTTCCAAGACATCAAGAAGCATGCAGTATTAACCTAGAACCACAGGAACTTCATTTGTCATGTCTTTACAGTTGGCCTTCAAATTCTAGTACTCACAGAATCCAGGATTTTCTTTTCAATCTGTTAAACTGCAGATCATAAAAGACAGTGCTACTAACTGCAGAATATGTTTAGATTTTGAAGAGCACTGAAAGCAACTTGATGTAGTTGAAGTTATGTTTTCCTGTCTGTATTCAGTTCAGTTTTTCTCTCAGGTGAACTACAGTGAATTATGTTTTAACTGGAGCTTTTTCTCACATTTCAGACAGGAACTTTATACTGATATGAAAGGCAGTTTTTATAATCTCTGTTATGTCACTCAGACGGTATAGTGGTTAGGGGAGCTGACTGCAATACTAAAGGGCCTGAGGCAAAGGTGGCCCACCTATTAGGTGCCTCCATAATGAAGTGATCACCACTTCTGGACTGGGTAATGGCCAAGCTGAAGTCAACTGAGGGCCTGCCATTGATAAAAAAGATCTTTATGAGGAAATTGAAAATGCAACTGGTTATAAAGAACTTCAGACTATCCTGCTTTCCTGATCTAATAAACAGGATAGATTAGTTTATCATCATGCACAAATCTATTTTAAGGGAAAAGTTGAAAGCAGTAATGAGAAAATTGAAAATGCTATTGATAAGACAAATCTCCCATTATCAACTTTACTCATGCTTGGTCCAAATGTAAACGAAACTGTTAATGCACTAGTGAATGGGGAAATGTTAATGCAGATGAGTCAAATTTGATTTTTGTTGTATATAATTTCTTTTGTGGTTGATGCTGAAGAGGGGGAATTTCAAACACAGTGAAGTTTGTGCTCCATACCATCAGTTCCTGAAGGAAGTTTCTAGTTGAATTGTGCTCCAAACCATTCATCCATATGATTGCAGTGGAAAGTTTTGCCGCAGGAATACTGAGGCAGTGGAATGCTATTAATAAGTATTTTTTACAGTTTATTTATAAGCATAAAATTTGTTAAACAGAATCAAATTCCTGTATTCTGTGTGGCATTCAGATTCCTCTTTTGTCTTCCTTTTTTTTCATCTATTTGTTGCCCAGAAGCCCAAGGGTTAAGATCACTGAATAGTGGAGTTTGACCTGGGTTCAGATCAAAGGGGTGGGGGTTTGGTTTTATAAAATGGATATGAACCAGTTTCCATTAGAAAGTCTTCTCTGAAGGTATCCTTTTAACCACTTATACTACGACTAAACTTCATGATTGCGGTGCCGTGCGCTACAACATAACAAGCGGTATATGTCTCATTTACGCCGCTCCATGTCTGCGAGTGCAATCCTGAGTTGTAACTCGAGAAATAAACCTAATCAAGTTAATGAACCTCATTGTTAGGCGACATGTGCACCACGTTATTTTCATTTTTGCGATAAATGCCTATTGACGTGGTGTTCATGTCACTCACGGTTTGAGACAAAAGCTCGACGTGCGTGGCACGTCTTTTTAGCACAAGGGGCTAATTAGGTAGTTAGTCCTCATGTGCTTTGCCATATTTGAATAATGTAATCTAACCTCATCTATTTGTCACTTGTTGCACATTTTTAAAAGTATTAATAAAAGAAACTTTTCATGATTTTTTAAAATCATATGACATTTTACACTGCATGCATTTAATATCATAATAGTTTATGCTGTATAATCATCAGAACATATAACATTTTACATATCACATAATCACATAGACTCGTATTGCATTTAGTGCTGCATTTTATGCACCTTTTTCTTTTACATTATGGCAAACCGTAACATTTTATGCTCATAGAACCATGTAACATTTTACATTGCATATATGAATCCTTTAAAGGACTGACTGAAAAGTTTACGTAAAAATGTTTTAAAGCTTTTATGAATAATTTCAAAGAGTTTGACAAAGGCAAACATGTAAATGCCATAAATACACAGTTTTGGAAAAAAAAAAATTCCTGCCTCTTTTACTGGTTTTACACTTCGCAGACTAGAAATATGTGCTATGATCGCAATTCCTGTTCATTTGCCTTGAAACTTTGACCATTTCCATATTTGATCAAAAGGTTTTTGCATACCAAATTTTGTCATAATCGCAAAAGTCCTTTTTTGTGCTTCGATTTTTTTTTTTTGGCAATAGAGTATAAAAATTGTGTAATTTGCAAAAGGGCTTGATTTAGGTTTTGCTTTGGTAGACATAGAAGAATTAAAGAAATGTAATGAAGGAGAGTTAATTACTGAATATTTAATTAATTTGCAAATACAGCAGAATTTAGAAGAGGGGAATTATTAGAAATAGTGGAAGAAGTAATAAGACTGTGCTGCAAAAGTGTTAGCTTATGTGTTCTTGGAAGTGAATGCAGCTGTATTAGAAGTCAGTGGTATGGAACGAACCAAATCTCAAATTTAACAGGAAATTTAACACCACATGAATGAACTTTTATGAAAAGAGAAAGGAAAATTTCAAAACGGATTGCTCTAATGATTTTCTTCACACTGTCCTTACAATTTTTTTTTACTTTTCTCACAATGATCTGCTTTGCACCTACTACAGCTCCAAATAACCATGTTTGCGATTTATATGACCTGTCCTTACAATTTTTTTTACTTTTCTCACTATGATCTGCTTTGCACCTACTACAGCTCCAAATAACCATGTTTGCGATTTATATGATGACTGGAAACTACTACCAGATTCTTATGATTCATTTACGGAAATGTTATAATAATTTTTTTTTTCATAGCAAAAGTTTTGGTATGTATTGTGTAAAAGTGTTGAATCAAATTGATGTAATTCAAATTTTTAAAACTTTTTTGCTTTCTGGAATATATAAATATTGTATATCTGTATGTTTAAATAATATGCAAACTAACTGTTGCTTGACACAAATCACAGAAGGGGAACTTTGACTTTAATGGAGGCATGTATGCATTTTTATCACTGTGCACTCCAGTGACTGGATATGGTGAGTGGGAAGGCTGATTGCATCCTTTGTTGGGCTAATACTTGGGTCCCAGGACCGGCATGGATTGTGCAATATATGCATTTAAAATCTATCAATCGGAATACATTCTGAAGACACTGATGGTAGGGAAGAGAGGTATGTAGCTGTTGGATTCCATCCTGTGGGATGCTTGGTCAAAATTGTTATGGAATCTGAGCAGACAGCTCTTGTATGTTTTGTTTAAATTAAATAATCTAGTTTAATTCTGTCTTATTATTATACATGGTTAGTGGCTGTAGTTTCTTTTTTGGAGGCAATATGCTTTTATCATCCAGGAGCAGTAATTATGACATTTTATTGTTTCTGTTATACTGGCCTTTTAGAATTTTAGAATTTTAGTTGTAAATTTGCTTTGGATATAATTCAAATTTAAAAGTATTCAACTATATAAGGTTTCTGTCAAGAATATATAAAAAATAGCTGAAGCTCTTCTGGAAAACTGGGAGGTGGGATACAATATTACTGATTATATGTCCCATAGCGTCTGAACAGTAGTCCCCCTTTATTTTTTTTTTACAGATTTTTGACACATTTTTAAAAACTAGTAGCAGTGACTTTGAAGGATGGGTAATAGGAGCATGACTAAAGCAGTATTCTAAATAAGATTAGGTGTTAAAATCGCTTAGAGTTGGTAATATTTTTTTTTTTCAGAAATTGACCTCCGTTTATTGTACTTGTTAGAAACATTGAATATTTTTAAAACCTTCAAACATACTTTAAACTACCTAGGTATGAAATAAATGACTTCTTAATTTCTTTTCTAAGGGCTGATAAGTTCTTGTTTTAGAAGCAAAAGTTTCAGTTAGTATCATGGGGGGGGGCATGCAACTAAAAGACTTGGAACTTTTAACTAGGATGTATAAAATTAAGTGCAGCGGTAAGTTGCTTCATATCTAAATTTTAATGTCTAAAATGAATGTGCCACATTTTCAGCACCTAAGTCAGTATATTTATTTTCATAAATGAAAATTTAATCTTAACTATTGCTGGAGTTAATTCTCCTAGTCTGTATTTTGTTTTGTGGCATTTTCAGTGTGGATTTTACCAAATAAAATGAATAGTTATAAGAAATCATATTTTTCCAGAAATAGATGTAGATTTTATGAGCTGTGCATGATTTGATGTTAAACTGTTATTAGTGAAGGCTTATAAGTTAATATTGGCATTTTGTACTGTTTTTCAGTTTTGTATACTGTCAAAAGTCTTTAATCCAGACGTCCACAATCCAGAATGATCTATAATTCGGACCTCAAAGCTACAAACTTTCTGCTCATGCGTCAACACACAATGCGTCCACGCATGCACATAATACCTTTACACGCATGCGCATAATACCTTTACGCATGTGCATTTAATGTATCACGGACGGTGATACTAAGCTAAGCTCAAATTATCTATTTCAGTTAATGTTGCAGATTGCATTCCTTAATCTTCTAATTGAATCCGGCTTATTATTTTTTCCAGACTGTTAGAGCAATTTTATAAAAGTAAGCTTGAACTTTCGATTATGCTAAAATAGAATTTCCGATTCTGGAGCTGCAAAGCGAAAGCATGTTTCGATGTCCATCAAATAAAAAGTGGAATTGCTTCAAAAAATGAATAAAGGCATATCCTTAGATTCTCTAACCATTCTGAAATATGTTTATCAATTTCACGCTGCTCAGCGGGAGGGGGGGGAACGACGGGGTGTGCAATGAACTGGAAGGTGATCTGTCAGCACTATCCTTATCTTCAGGGCAGATGTTTTTATTTTATTCGGCTTATAATTCCTTACTAAATGTAATATTTCATCTCGGGTGTACTCCATCTTTGACATGATTTAAATCAAATTCCTCGTCATTATAAATATCACGAACACACAACAAATAGTTTTCTGGTTGCAATTTTCTAATTTCGACTATGCATAATGTATGCTTTACGCATGCGCACGTTGAAAGAAATGTTTAATAAAGTAAACAAATAAATATTAAGCCTTTTTTTTTTTCTAAATTTTGATACCCTTTAGATCATAATTGCTCTTTATTTCATAAATTACAGTTTTATATTTTTAATTTTATAACTTCTGCATGCCATCTTACCAGATTTAAACTGATGATCTATAATCCGGAAAAACCGATAATCCGAAAGTCCCGACAAGTCCGGATTAAAGACTTTTGACTGTATAATGATTTCCTTCCCTTTTCCAGTATAAGAATTTGGAGAATTTGACTCATTTATAATTGTATAAAATTCTATGCAAAAGCAAATAGTGTTGCTTCCTTTTCATGAGATTGCATTCTTTTTATTGCTGCTCTTAAAACTAGTAGTCTGACCAGAATGTAAACTGTCATGTTATTGAGTCACCAGTTTTTATTGAAACAGTTTTGAAGAAGATTGTGATTTATGTGAGATGAACTAAATTTGTATTTGTAGTATCAGTTAACAAATTTGTAGAGTAAAATTCTGTAAGCTCACATTCATAGTTTATTTATTTTCCTTATTTCTTACTATATTCAAAATCTATACCTATTTCTCTAATTTAATATGCTTCCATGAGATAAATTTGTCTTTAAGGTATATTTAAGATATGTTTCATATTTATGTGACTTGTTTATTAATTTTTGAATATCCTAGATAATCATTTAAAATCATCATATTTACACAAGCGAGAATATTTTTCTGTCTCTGAGAATCAACTTGAATGCCATGATTCTTCTATTAGCCGACATGAAGGGACATTACAAACTAATGAAAGGAAAAATCAATCTTTTCCATTCACGAATATTCAGAATGTTATGGAAGAGGGAAGCCACAAATGCAATGCGTCTGTATTTAGTCAAGTACTTCGTCATCCTGATGATAAGAAAAATGTGTCATCTGTTAGTGATTATCGAGAAATGGTTCCTATTTTCCCTGTATCACGGATACCAGTGAGTATACCATCTAAAGAATGTTTTGCCAAGAGAGATTATAAGCCATTATTAGAGGTATTTGTGTTTAAGTTCATTTAGTAGATTCTTTTATTTCCTAAAAATATTGTGCATGTTTATGTGCATGCTTTTTTCATGAGCTGTGAGTTTATTCCCAGAAAATTATTTCATTTATAATTTAAATTTTTTTTTTTTTAATTCTCTTGTACGCTCTGAATACGTCAAAGACTTTTTTGCTATTGGTTTCAAACAGCTTTTAACCTTGAATTAAAATTAATTGAAAGAAAAAAGTGTATATTATGTTCAACATTTTTTGGTAATCATTGTTTGGAATCGGAAAAAATTTTGAGTTTAATTGCAGTGATAATTTTGATAGCTAAAATTATTAGTGCTGTAGCTAAAAAAAATCTAGTCTGTTATTCTTCAATTTTAAGCCTGAATTTGAAATTTACTTTTTTCTTTCGTTTAATAATAAAAAATAATTGTTTTTATGAATTGTTAATTTTGCTGCCTGTGAAATTCATACATGAAATTTTGACAGTTCTTATTACAGCTGCATGAAGTAAGCCAAAATATTTTTGTTGAAACAATTTATACTTTTATTTCTGTGTACTTATTTTAAATAAAATAATTAATAAAGGAAAAATTCAAAAGTATACAAAATGCTGCTATTGAGTAACAATGAAAGCAAATAGGGTTAAAAATTTATTTGATATATATTTCTTAACAGAATTTATTGATGTGCTTAACATATATTTATGTACATTGAAAAGCAGTCATAACCTATATATGAGAAATTCTGTTTTAGGAAATTATAATCAGAAAATTACAAATTAAGTTTTCATAAATTCTGCATTTTTGTCCCCCTTTATGTTTAAAACTGCAGTTGTAAAACAGTCTTGAAGGTTGTGTTTTTTCACAGTTTTTTTCCTATTGCACTGTGCTTAAATAAGAAGACAATATGTAAGTTAAGATTGTTGATTACCTAATATTGCTGGCAGTGTTACATTGCCATCACTCTGTTAACAGTAATTGAAAAATTATGCTCCTGAAAGAGTCATTTTAATGAGTAAATGATTTGGGTTAAGATAAGTAGTTTAATTCTAAGTTTTGTCTTTGGCCAATTGAGTGTTCTCTGTTATGAGCTTTTCTGTTGTGCAGTCATAATGCTGGCCATTGTGGATGCTTTTTGAAGCTTTCATGTTTTTCCAAATTTGGATACTTATAGCAAATTTTGTTTTACCAAATGCAAATGTATGTTTTTCAGTTGTAGGAAAATTAAATTCAACAATAGTGAACAGTAGGCAAATCCGTGCGGCACAGAAACAGTACAGTTTGCAACAGATTGATTCATTGGATTCTGCTTTTCATAATGATGCTGTTATTTAAGTTTTAGATGTATATGTTATTTTTATCATGTCATTCCAGCAAAGAAATTCCTGATTTCAAAATTAAGAACTTTGAAAAGAAAGGTCAATAGAGGAATACAACGAGCAGTGTATATTTATTGTGAAAGCTGTAGATTGTTATACCGAAGTTTCAAAATAATAGTTACAGAAGCTGCCTACAGATGGCAGTGTATGTTGTGCAGCTTGTGTCAGGGTGCATAAATAAATTCGTCTTCTGAAACCAGTCTTTGAAATCACATCACGATCTTTTTGAAATTTCCACAATTCACAGTGCAGAGATGGGGCAAACATACAGTGAAATTTGCTTTCACATCCCGCAATATCTCAATTGAAATGGATTCAGTTGCCATACAGATTGATGATTCAATCATCTCTAGCATAGTGGAATGGCTCTTGTAAACAGCGTCTTTCAGTGTGACCCACAAAAAGTAGTCACAAGGAGTCAGATCAGGCGAATATGGAGGCCAATCCATGCCTGTGCCAATAAATTTGAAATAAGCCAATGCAATGCCTATTCTAGAAGTATTCATCAAGAATGCAAAACAGCTGTTTGGTGCAATTTGTCAGGTTTTATCTTGCATAAAATAGTTGGTGGTTGGTGCCTGGGATAAATTGTTCCAAATGATGGTTTCATCACATGAAAAAAGGGCCAATAATGCCTTTGCTGCTTACTGCAGCCCAAACAATAACTTTGTGAGAATGCAGAGGTTTTGTTTTACATAAATGAGAATTTTTGGGACCCTAAAATTGCCAGTTTTGTTTATTTATGAATCTTTTGAGGGGGAAGTGTGCTTTATCTATGAACCAGATGCAGCCAACAGCTTCATTATCAATCATTGTGGGAATCTGGTTTGCAAAGTTAGCCCTTTGTCGCATAGCATATACAGGTATGCTCCCTGTGACTTTGGATTTTGAATGGCAACATATCTAGACCGTTTCTTGACATTTTCTACATGCTGAAATGCTTCAAAGCAATCTCTGCTGCTGTTCTTCAGACAGATTTCCTTGGATTATGCTGAATAATTCCAGAGACCATGGTAACATTTTCAGGAGGAGCTACAGCTTGCCTACTACCAACATTGCCTACCAGATCATTGACTCTGCTGCCTATCCTTTGGAATTTGGTGAATGGTTTTCACATTAGGTCCTCTGGGAACATTAAATCAATCATATTTGAAAACTATGCCTTACAGTAGGACTGTGTGGTAACCTTTGGCAGTTCAGTACCAGAAACACATTGTTCAGTGGAATAGATGATTTCAACCTCTCCCTTTGATACACTAACCTCCTTTCATATTTCAACAGTGGAACTGATCACTCTTACATCTTTCAGAGCTTATTAATATGCATAATATATTGCAATTTTAGCACCATCTGTTGGCAGCTTTTGTAACTATTATTTTCAAATTTCCATTTAACATTCTTATAGTTTTTCATAAATATACCGCTTGTTTGAAAACCAGGAAGTTTTTATAACATTGCCACAGTTTTGTGCACATTTGGTAAAAATAAGTCTCTGTTAGCTTCTTCGCCCTCAAATTTTCAGAACACTTGCAATTTCTGTTTGGAAGCATTCTACAAGATGCTGCCCTTCCATAGCAGATGCACAAGGTGGCCAAAGTATAGGCACATGTTTCTTTTAGATATTTTTTTGCTAATGAATGTTTTCATGTTAACCAGAATTCCTATATTTGACATACAACATACTTTGAATATTTGTTTTTATTTTGCATTCAAGATAATGAAATTGTTTGATTATGGCAAAGTGCATCAGGTCTGTCTTAGAAGTACTACTCTTGTAGATTTCCTAAGTGGAAGTATGTTATATTAAGTGGCCCAAGATAAACCAAACCTAAAGCAAGTGAAGTTTCCTATATCTGGTTCTGTTTATCATGGGCTACCTGATATTTATCATTAGGAAGACGTATGAAGAAAACCACACAAAACACTTGTAGTCTACTTATTTAAAATTACCGCGAATAGAACCTGTGGCAAATTCTTACATTTTATGGTTTTTATTCCTTTGCTTATCTGCTTTTAATAGGACATTATTTTATTATACTTTTGTATTTGTAAAGTATGTTACTAAGTTTTAGGAGATGTTTGCAAATGATATACAGTGTATTATTTTCATTGTTTTTAATAACCAAAATGCATTTGCTTCTAAAAATGACTGGGCTGACATTTTACCTATTTCTAGTTCTCTTGAATAAGTATTGGGTACATGGGGAGATTAAAAGTATTACAGACGCTAAGTTCTGTAGAGATTATTGTGCCCCTTACACAGGCAGATTATACATGGTGTTAAAATATATGTGATGTTCCAAGTAGTTGTCATCTACCTGTATCTTTTAAGTATAGGCCCTGGGTATGTACTGCCTATTATATTCATAAAAATCTCAACTTTGTTTTGAGAAAGAAGTTTGAGAATTTTTTAGAAATAATATCAATGTTGTTGCTGAAAATTTTCTTTCTGGTTATGAAATCTACTTTCCTTTATGGTCTAAAGTTAGCAAAACATGTAATCAGGAAAATAATATTCATTATACCTAAGTTAAATGCACAGAGTTCCATTCCTTTATATGCAAAATTCGCGGAGATATTCGAAACCGTGTTAAGTCGCTTTTCAGTGCCTATTTTCAATACATAATCAACATTTTTGAACAAATTTATGGAGCAAATACAAAACAGAAGTTACTAGTTTTGGCAATCAATCAAAGTTGTATTAATTAAAACTTAGGGGCAATATTCACACAACCCTCAATCTTACAGTGTTGAAAACGTTTACGTCAAATCCTGTACTTTATTTTGATAGATTTAATGAATGGTATATAAAGCACTAAGAAAATAAAACTTAACGCTAATATGTGTTTCAAGTATCTCATGTATATTTCTAAAATATTTTGTGTAACTGTAATTTTCTGAATGCTTCAACATTTTATTTAACCTTTTGCATGACCTAAAAGCATTTTGTGCTTTATTTTATGAGCACTTTTTAAAATCCCACAAGAAGACAATAAAGTGGCTTTTGTCAGCCTTGATAGTGGATTTTGGCTGTCAGTGAAATTTGTTTATGCAGATAAGATCTATTATAGAACTGGTTTTAGTATTGAGGTTACAGTAAAATGGACTGCAAAACTTGAAATAGTTAAAATATGGAACTGTGTATGAGAATTAAATTTTTTATAGTATGCAGTTTATTTCAAAAAGAATCGAGCAGTAACACTGATGTCTATAATTTAAATTTTTGGGGGGAAATACTGAAAAAATTCTTGTTTCTGAGTAAATTTCAGTAGTAATCACTTTTAACACCATTGTAATAAACTTTTGGTAATACAGTAGAAAATCTTAAATCCAGATATCCAGTATCCAGTCTTCTGGACTACCAGCATAAATAAGTAAATAAATAAAATAGTAAAAAATATCCCTCTTTAGAAAATCTAGGAATGAAGAGAATATAACTAAAAGAAGCAGGTGTGCCTTAAATGTGATTTTTCTCCAGATTAACTGGGGTTCTTGCATTTCACATTCAAGCATCTTTTGGCTGGAAAGTTGCACACTGCCCAGTAACAATGCCATTGATTGATGTTGTGTTGATGTTAGCCAGGATTATACTTGTAACATTTGAATGGCTGTGGGGGGGGGCAA